ATCTACAATCAGTTGGGGTTAAATTGTACTCAGTGCGTTACTATTACTATTCATCCCTTGAAGTTTTTTTTAACACATTCAATTTCACCTAAAATTGCAACAGTAAAAAATATTATTGAGATGTCCAGTAATTAAATTTGAAATCATGTAATTAACAATGTGTTAGTATAATTACAGTAATTAAAATATGATATGTAATCGAGCCACGTAATTAAGGTAATTAAAATTGAAATTAGTGTATTTAAAGTAATTAACAGCATTGAAACCGACCGTTTCTATTTATAACCCGTCTATTCTGTCATGTTGCGAAATTCATTTCCTAACATTCTTTTCGGTATAACGGTAAAGTAGATTGTAGGAACATGATAAACAGCTCTTCAGATATTCGTATCTATTGTATAGTTCTCATCTATTGTGCCATGTTGTGAAATTATGTTCTACCGCAGACAAACAGACATAACACTCGCAAGTTGTTTATCGAACAAGCATTTAACGGTCAATTTGAAAGTATCGTAGTTGGTAGTACCGCCACCTGTGGCGCGCATATTCTTCCCTTGCGTTTGACGTTTACACACTACCGCCATCTGTTCAGCGTTCTTACCCACCACAGTATACCCGAGCAAAGTCCAGCATCAAAATGACAGCAAATTGAAATCAAGTTTTGATATCAACATCAAACTGAAATCCTAATTTGATTTCAGTTTATGCAATTGGTAAATTTTGTTTTCATTTTGCTGTACATTTGCTCTTCAAAAATATGTTGTTGCGGGTTTTGTTTTCATTACCTTAGCATAACATCAAATTGAATACTTGTTTTGTTATCAACAGGAAAAATTGATGTCAAATTCAGTTTTCAGTTTGCTCTCACTGATAGCAGAATTAGTTTTCAATGTGATGTCACATGAAGATTTGTTTGCTCTCAGTTTTGATATTTTAACCGTTAAAACGACCAAAACGACAGCAACCTGAGCAATCATTATCAGCGAAATCACAACATCAAATTTAGATTTCAATTTGATCTCAGGCTTTGCTCGGGTACTCAACAGATGGCGGTAATGTTTTAGCAACGATGTTTTAACGGTGAGAAATATTCACAATGTGTTATGTCTGTTTGTCTGTGGTTCTACAATCATCCCAAAAAGCTCCCTCCGTGACAATGTCAATCATTGCCGTGACCAGGATTCGAACCTGGGTTACTACGGCCACAACGTAGGGTCCTGACCACTAGACGATCACGGCTGTCGGGAGTTGTGAGATACTGTGAAATGAAACAACAGCACAATGTAATCACCACATTGCCCCCGTATATGTGCCGTATATGTGCCGTTTATGCGAGGGTTTAAAATTGGCACTGTACTCACTGCTGCAGCGAGATCTCCTACGACGTCGCGTCGCTGGCTTTGGGCCACATGGCTACTCCGGCATTACCGTGTGGCCGGAAACTTGCGGTGCGGGCTGCAAACAGTGTTGTTGCTCTTATGGGAGAATGGCGGATCTGGTGCCGTCAGCCACATACGGCTCAGCAGGCGTTGCTGGCTCGTTTGGCTGGCAGGCGTCTTCCGTCGTTGACGACATCGGCTGCCCGTGGCATGGCCACCTTGGTCGAGCATGGCCACCTTAGTCGAGTCGAGCCCACCGGCCTGGGGGAATCGTCCCTGACGGACGATCGAGGATCATTAGCTCTGAAGCCATCTGGACTTCCCAGCCGATTCGTGTGTGACCGTTTTATTGTACGGTACGAGGTGTACAAGATGTACAAGAGGTCCTGAACGGCGGCAGTCCTTCCATCCATTTCACTGCACTTAACTATGGTCTTCACAAGGACGCCTTCTGACTAATTTTCCATATCTAAGTTGGATCCTTCAATCAATTTTGCCAATCCTCTTTTTATTTATTTATTGTTTATCAGTCAACAGGTAAAATGTTTACCCCAATGACACACTTGTTCTACAACTAAATACAAAACTAACGAATAACATAAATTAACATTAAACTCGTTTAAAACTACGCTTATTTGTTTCTTGTGACACGTTGAAATCGTACACATAATAACACCGGTTGAATACACGGGACATGCTTCGCAAAGGTTCGTGTAAGCCATAATTAGTTCTTGCCTGAGGGATGGTGATAAACGAGTGCGACCGAAGATTGCGACGACGACGTGTGTTGATGTCCAAGAGACTAAGAAGCGTAGGACTGTCAATGTTGTCATCGTAGAGGGCAGTCCGGAATCCATCCGGTGGTCATTGACGTAACGCCAAAAACTTCTGGGATTTGTCTTGAAGCGCCTGATATGCGTTGTACAAACGATTATTAAGTTGGTTGTATTCAGTGCTCGCCGCCACATATCTCGTTCTCGTGGAGTCCGTGCGATACTTGCTATGTCGTCTGAGAGCTGCCCGCTTCACAGTCTTAAGATGCTTGAGGTCAGCATTTGACCAGGCTGGCTTAGCCGGCTCGTGTCTAGACTTCATTGGGGAACGAACTGATCGATGGCATACCACAGGATACCAGATATGGTCGACGCAGCGAGGTTGGCATCACAATTTTGAAGCACCTCGTCCCAATCGACATGTGCGAGGAACTCGTTCATGCTGTTGAAGTCAGCCTTTCTGAAAGCATAGGCGATGCTTTCAGAGGTATCTTGGACTTATCTTGAATTCCATCAGTACAGGAGGATGATGCTTGCAGATTTTAACGAGCGGTGATGGAGCTTGCATAACTGTGCTGTGCTCGCAAAGCATAGATCAAGTGTACGATTGTTTTCATTTGCAATTCCACTCATTTGTCTGAGTCCAGCGGTGCTATACGCATCAAGCAGCTTCCGTGATGCCAGGCTAATCGAGGATCGTGATGTAATATTTCCAGCATATGCGCATACATTTTTAGCTTAAGGCTACGATTTTCCTCTCTTCAGTATCCTTGGAGTGTTTTGGCAGCGGCACAAGCCCTCTCGCTCTTGTGTGTGTCTACTGTTTTAGATTTAACAAAACGTGAATTTTCCCAACCAACAATTGCTCATACAGACGAAAATCCACGGATTGTAACCAGCTGGTTACAATATAAGCAACATTTCATTCAAATCGGAAAGGGTTCTCTTTCCGGAAATACCCATATTGTAGAGTATTTGACAGTTTTTCTTGAACCGATTGTTGCCATCTTCGATTTCAAAATGACGTCTGGAATCGATTTCTGTCCTATCCGGAAATACCCATATTGTAGCGTATGTTAGATTTTTTCTTGAACTCATGACCGCCATATTGGTTTCCAAAATGGCGTCTGGCATTGATTTCCGGCCTCTACACATCGTCCCCTTTCCAGAAATACCCATATTGCAGGGTATTTGACATTTTTTCTTGAACCGATGGTTGCCATCTTGGATTTTAAAATGGCGTCCGAAATCTATTTCTGGCCTCTACATATCATCCCTTTTCCGGATCCTGTCCTCACGCACAGCAACATCTTATATGGAAACGCTTTCCAGACATAACATATTGAGGAAGTTCATGTTCACACTAGCGCCGCGTAGTGAGAGAGTTCTGAAATAATATGACCACCATCCGAAAGGACTTGGTCACCTGAACAACTTTGCTGAAGACAGAAAATTTCTAAATGGCCAGGTTCTCGAGATACAGTTTATATGGGAAGTTCTCATGCACACTAGTGCCGCGTAGTGGGAGAGTTCTGAAATAATATGACCACCATCCGAAAGGAATTGGTCACCTGAACAACTTTGCTCAAGACAGCAACTTTCTATATGGCCAGGTTCTCGAGATACAGTTTATATAGGAAGTTTACATGCACACTAGCGATAAGAAGTGAGAGAGTTCTGAACTAATATGAACACCATACAAAAGGACATGAACACCTGAACAACTTTGCTCAAGACAGTAACCTTCTATATGGCCAGGATTTTGAGATACAGCTTATATAGGAAGCTCATGTGCACACTAGCGTCGCGTAGTGAGAGAGTTCTGAAATTATATGACCACCATCCGAAAGAACTTGGTCACATGAACAACTTTGCTTAAGACAGCAAGTTTCTATATGGCCACGATCACGAAATATTCTATGTTAAACCTAAGATCCATGTATTATAGCACCCGTCATAAGTAACGCAAAAGATAAGTCCCTCTAGCGGCGTAGTTCCCTATTAAACCTGAATCCAATGACACAGGCTTGTTGGTCTATCCCAGTAAAACAACTTCGTCGAAGACAGTATAGCTTTATATATTGAAATAGATGAGAAAATCCACCACAGCCCCCATTAGTCCCATAAGCTGTGGGTATCCCTATTCGCGGTTCCTTATTCACGCCCCCTTTACCCCGGCAATAAGGATTCCTGACTGTACTCACATAATACAGGCTGTAGTATAAACAGAGTATAAGTACGCAATGGTCATTATGTTAATGGCGGAGCTTACACAGCTCAGCGAACGAATGAGTGAGCATTTGCCATATCGTGTCGATATGTGATGGCCACCCACCCACCTACCGGCATACCATGGGCTGCTGCGACCCAGAGCAGACGAAAATCAGCAAAGCAACCATTGACTTTTATTTTAGTACACACTTTAAAGCGGGTAGCTGGGTAGCTGTGCCTTCCCAAGTCATTGAGTGAAGAAGAGTACATATACAATTTTCCTCAGGATGAACGTGAGAAGGAAAGACCGCACTTTACACCGTACATTAATTCAAATGATTTCCTATTCGGTTACCCCTAGCCGTCGCCGCGCCTTCCAGTTAGGCAGCCCGCAAAACATGCGGGAAGTTGTTATCACACGCTGCGGTGGCGTTGCTTTTGAAGTTCTCGCAGTTGGGTGCTCGGCGGTGGAATCAAAACAAAAAGTGACTCTTCCTCCCAACTGTAATCGTAGTACGGCGAGTGCATTTAAATGTGTGTGTGTGTAGACTAACTCCCAGCTAATAAATTCCCATTTAGGAAGTCCTGAAAGTGTGCTAACTTTTTGCTTGTTTTCCTGTCTATCTCTTTTTTGCAGAACATCAACAACAACAGTGATATTAGCTCTAGTAGGAATACGTCGTCCAGCGAGAAGGAGAGGCGAGCGCTGGTCAAGGGAAAGAAGAACTCCAAGCGAACCAAAAAAGGTGAGTGTTTGTTTTGTTTATTTTGTTCTTCGCGTTAGTTCCCGTAATCGCCGCTAGTTTGACATTTCAAACTAATCTACTTTCACTATAGCCTACTGTTTTCAGAAAACCAGATTCTGACTCTGTCTGGGCGGTTGTTTCCCCTTAGGGATGTAGACACGATACTCTCTGTTGGAATAAATCTTCCCCGCCGGACCAAGCGCGGGCGGAGATGGAGAAAGGTAAATCGACCTTCTCCACTCTGCTCGGGTGAAATAATGTAGAAATCTTTATGTTGCCACGCCAGACAAATTGGCAGACATCATGGAACGCGGCGCTGCTACAATCACTGACACTACTACTACCGACAGACTCTGACTGCTGCTGGGGATGGCGGCTTGTCTGAAGTCGGTCCGAGTCCTGATGGGGGGGCGGTCCAACGAACCGAACTGGTATTTTCAATATTAAATGAGACCCGGTGAGCTGCGATACTGGTTCTCTGATGTATGATGGGGGGGAAATAGCGCTGCTAGTTAGTAGCCCTGTTGCAAGAGATATGGTAGTAAATTAGTGGGCCGAAGAGGCAGGGACGTGCTTTATGAGTGCGGACGCCTTGTATTTTAAGGCTGGTTAGGGATTTAACCCTTTCGAAGCGTTTACTGCCGGACTGAACAGAAATGAAGCGTAAGCTTTGACCAATTCTGAACAAATTAAACAAGAATTAAGGCTCCGCTTAAGACATATGGATGTAAGGATAAGTTTTCCCCCGGCGGACCATCCACATTTCACAAATTAAACCCCAATTCAAATTCCAATTCCGACCACTTGAGTGCGAGTCAAAAGAGCCGAAAAGGCCACTTTTTACATTAAAAAGAGTTTAAAAATTAATTTGTTCATCAACTTTATCGCTGCCGCAGCTCGAATCGGTGGTGGAACTTTTACGCCGGGCGATAACTTTTCGCCCTTCTACACCCCGGCCACCATGTTTTCTCCCGGGAGTACACGCAAGTGGCAGGAGGGTTAAGGCAAACGCTTGCGGTTTGTAACTAACAATCAACAGTCAGCACTTTTTCCCGGCTCCGCTCGAGGACTGGAGCGCGAAGCTCAACTTTTACGATAGTTTGTCGGGGTTTTGCTTTCGTGGCCAGCTCGGTCGGACGAAATTTGTTGCTCCCATAAATCACCGCTTTGGTTCGACCTAATGGGAACCGTTTTCGATCCGTTTGTCTGTGATTCATTCGGTGGAAGGGGAGGCTGTCAGTTGTCCCTATCCAACCACTTTCAATCCGACAACTTTACTGTGCGGCTAGATAAACGGCTCTTTAGCACGCAATCAACTTCTGGCTGTCTTGTATTGTCGGCAATCTATGGGTTATTATTCAGATGGCTACAATTTAGAGCTTCTACGGATGGGGAGGTCTGAAGAGTCACGCACAATCGGTCCGTTTTCGTTGCTTTGACGTAAATTTGACAGATAATCCATGGGTTAACATGGCCCGTAACCGTCGGCAACCGAAGCAATAGTAGACGGAGTGGCAATCGATTTGTAGGTCAAATCTGGGTTACGTACCACGAACCCTCGAACTGTCAATAAAATATTGACATTGGATCTCTCTATTCCGTGATTTTGAACCGTTTGTCTGTAAACAAGTGAGTTAGCTGTCAGAAATATATCATCCTTGATCAAGCAAGTGTTTCTGCTCTGAACCAGTCCCAGGTAGTGTCAACCCTTCAAATCAGTGATTGAAATGTAATATATCTCGAATCGATTTACATTCGACTTGACCCCGTTTTCTGAGCTAAGAATGATAAATATTAAATCGTCATAAATCATGTCTTAGGTCTTTCTCGTGTCCGGTTCAGTTTCCTCTATGCGGTATTGCAAATCGAATCGCGTTGGTCACGCCGCAGTTGCTGCCACCGGTATGGATGGCGAAAGGGGTCTCTCAACCGCCGATAAGTATTTATGTGAAGGGACCTCCATCATCGCTGCTGCCGTGCCGTGCCGTGCCGTGTGACGGTGCCGCGGCCCAAAGAGTAGTAGCTAAATCGATTATTTATCGCTTTCTTGCTGCACATGTCCGACAGCCAACGAACGAACGGTCGCAGGAGGAGGAGGAGAAATGACCAATTGAAGAAACAGAAGTGCGATAACACTCCGAAAAAACAGAGACGCGAAAAGAGGCGAGTCTCAGTGCGAGCGTCGTATCAACTGTCAATTATTCAATGGATGAATGGTGTTCGGGAAAGGTGACTTGGTTGGGGTAGGAATGTGAAGCGAAAGTAAAAGTCGTTGATTTGAGGACCCAATCGAATGGTTAAGGAATTCCGTCTTTTCTGGATTCACAGATTTTTTTATTGTGGATGCAAGGATTTCAACGTTCACAGAAACAATCCAACTGGCAACCTTCAGGTCAGAGACGATGTTTTATAAGAGACGCGCATGGAGAAAAGAAGTAAATCTGGTTGCACGGCCAACTAAGTTATTTTGTTTGCAAGGTTTGGCAACCCGCAATTTTGTGTTTACTTCGAGTTACTTTTAATTTGAGCGACTGTTATCTGCTTCAGCGTCACGGTAGAACAACCATATCGGTAGAGATGATTTGAAAAATTCCTTCTGTAAAAATACACCGAATAAATCGTGACAAAATGTCAGTTTTTTAATGGTTTCCCAAAGACAGCGTCGTCAGAGAAAATTGGTTTCAATTCTGTCGGTTTCCTCCCGATCAAAGCGCGACGGAAAACTCGATTATGTAGCGTGATTAACCTACCATATTGATGGTTGAATTGTCGTTTAGATGAAAGTCGATTTCAAACTGATTTATTATATTTCAGCTGTATTTCAATTCCGATTGAGATATATGCGTAGCATCGGATATCGGAATTATAATAGCAGCTCCGGGTGCAGTTTATGTTTTGGAAATTGTTGCGGATTTGAACGAGGGAACAGATAATGGAATTGATGATGATGTAAAAGGTCATAATAGGAATGACTTGATTTATGATTTATACTTTTCATACGCAAACTTATTTAGAATAATTTAAATCTTAAAAATTAAATTTCGACCTCAATCTCAATACTCCCCACGCTTTTCACCGTGAAGCGCTTGTTTTCATTTGCATTGCTTGCATGGAACCGCGTTTGACGGTTCGATTGGAACTTTTGGTTTCAGTCTTCGCGCATCTCTTCACTGATTTTATAAATTCTCCTTTAAGCTGGGTTTAGACAAGGCAAGTCAATTGATCAAGTCCGTTGAATTCAACTGACTTGAACGCGAATTGAACGTGCAACCCATGCCATTCAACTGACTTGATCAACTCACTTGAATTGAAAAAAAGTTTTTGAGTTGAGTTGATCATTTGACTTGCCTAGTCTAAACCCAGCTTTATAGTAGCACGCTTGTCGTAGAAATGCTACAAATTCTTTTATACTACTTTAAATAGGCTTATTTAGGGGTATTGAGGTAAATGCATATTCGTAGCCTGCATCAACAAAAGAACAGAAATCCAAAATTTCATCAATTTGGGTGCACTGGAACTTTTTTAAATAAGTGCGATTACATTAGAAAAAAATCACCATTACGGCGCCCGTCGTTGGAACTTTGTATGGAAGCGAACTGTTAATTCAATTTGATAGTGGACTGTCAATCAGTGAAGTTATTATTTTGCTTTAAATCTTTGTTTAAAAAACGAGATGGTAGTCTATGGGATCGTAAAAAATAAGGCTGTGGTCAGAAAACAAAGCTCTTTCAGATGAGGTATAATATACGCCTTATTTTTCAAAATAAAAGAACCCAATTCCCAGGAGAGTGTGGAGAATCTTCGTAGAGAATTCTGACAGAGCTTCGTGTTAATTTTTACGGAAATCCTAACAGCATCGAGAACAGAGCAGGTGCCGAATTTCAGATCGAAATTTAGGTAGCAGATGGTCCGTTACCAAATAATTGAGGCCCAAATGCAATGTGGGTGGCAGCGGAACGGAAACGGCAAGTTTGACAGTTGTCACAAATGACATCAAGAAGCCTAACCGGTGTCGATTTGGTTCTAACAAGTTTTTAATCCGACAAGTAGGCTTACTCAGATTGGGCTTTGCGCTGCCGCTGCCGTTCCGCTTCCACTGTGATTGCGCTTGGGCCTTTATAATCCGGTCGAACTCAATCTCAGTACCATTAATCACATGACATTTCCCTTTTAATTAAAGCATGCTTGACTAGGAAACTGTAAATTTATTTTTATTTTATTTTTTATTTTCGAACTAATCGTACAGACAGATATTGCTATTCACTAATCCTATTTCTAAACATTGTCTTAGATATATTAAAATCAAAAAGGACAAATACTTCATTAAAACGACGACAACAAACATCAAACGGATGGTTCTGTCCTTTCTGATATGCTGTGCACTGTTCTTTCTGATATGCTGTGCACAGGAAGGCGAAGAAAATCTGCACGCCGGATCGTTCTGGCCGGAATGTTTACATTTATATTGCTCAGCAGTACTGAGCAGTCTACGTTGCTCTTCAGGATGTCGAATATAAAAAGCAACTGCAACAGGATCCTCCTACTAGCCAAGGTCGGTAGATGTATCAAGGCGTAGCGATGCTCGTAGGGTGATAATCGAACCGGATCATTCCACGGAAGTAAACGGTTAATCTGAATGACATGGTATGGCGCCCACACCAGCACTCCATATTCAAGTATGCTGCGTACAAGCGCGCAGTAGAGACTTTTCAAGCAATGAATGTCTTCAAACTGCTGCGTGTTTCGTTTGATGAATCCAAGCACTGCGTACGCCTTGGCGGTCGTTGCAGCTATGTGTTGGGTAAACCTCAGCTTACTGTCAAGTAGCACATCCAGATCTTTAACAGTGCTTACTCTATCGATACTAGTTGTCAACATTCTATAATCGAAAATGGTCGCCATCCTTGTTCGATAGAAAGAAATTACATTACATTTTCGGGCATTTACATCCATTCCGTTTAGCCTGCACCAGTGCAGTAACGCGTCGATGTCAATTTGTA